TCATGCTTCTTTCTCTTTAAGGCTCACACTGTTATTTTCATATAAATATCAGTTGTCCCTGAATGTACAACAATTCACTTATCCTCCAATCTATAGAGATGTTATGTAAGATAATCAGTACTGAAGACGAACGGTTTCAGCCAGTACTGTGATGTTTGTGACAAATTAGCTATATAGCATTTATTCATGTTTGTAATGTTACATTTAATATATATTGTATATTTAGTAAACCAGACTCCTTCCTCTCAATGCTATGTAAAACCAATAATAAATTTAGCATCTGATGCTTCTGATAATGTTCAGCTTCTGAAATGCAAGCATTACCTTCAGGCAGCAGCTTGGGGTGACACGCTTTCAATCAATCTGCATTCTTATCGTATCTGCAACATTTTCACATATTTCTGTGTATGCTATCACAAAGGTCATGCTTCTTTCTCTTTAAGGCTCACACTGTTATTTTCATATAAATATCAGTTGTCCCTGAATGTACAACAATTCACTTATCCTCCAATCTATAGAGATGTTATGTAAGATAATCAGTACTGAAGACGAACGGTTTCAGCCAGTACTGTGATGTTTGTGTGAAATACAATTAGTGGTTTAGTAAACAGAATTCTTCAGAATTTCCAGTGAGAATTTTCCAGAAGCGCTCTGTTGTTTAAATGTTCTTTAGCCGCATCTGTGTAGTGTTACAAATAAACGTTTTACACAATTACAAAACTGTGAGTCATTGAGGAAAATCATTTGAAGTAGCTTTAAATATCACTGCCAACACATTTTCTGTGGCTTTGATTTTCTCCTATTGAAACTTGGAATCTTGAAGAGACAAGACTGTCTCAGCAACTTCTAGGATAGTAACCAAAGGACGATTGATTTCGAACAGGATCAAGCAACTTTCTGTGTCAAAGCCATTTTGTGTATAATCTCCACCCACCCTACAATCTGCTCTAAAGAAGATCAAATGATCCGGTGGAAAACTGGTTCAACAGCGATTTAAGAACAGACATTTCACAGAAAACAGGGAAGAACTCAATAATTAGCTGAACTGTCACAAAGTCAGGCTAATGCTTGCCAAGATCTTACAAAACCAAAAATAAACCTGAATCATCATGCATGTTGTAGAACTTATAAATGTGTTTGTTTATCTCAGTTAGTAGTAATTCATTGTGTAACAAAGTGGTGGGTGAAAGAGTTTAATGGCTCAGATTATCTACCCTGTGTTTTCTTTAACCCACTTAAATGCTTTTGTTTAATTGGTTGTTTAATGGTTCAGAACCTGCTAGTGAACTGTGACTGAGATTAGAACATGAAAATAACTGTCTTGGGTATATAATATGGGACATTTGCTGTATGATATGTGTATGTTCTCATTGTGTAAGCATGAATGTGTATGTGTGTGTGGACAGGGGGTTAGTATAGCTGTAGTTTAGGAACAAACTTGTTTCCAGAATTTATGTTAATCAGATAAAAAAATAAAAAAAAGGCTTTAACTTCCACCCAGGGTGTGACCAAAACCAGTCTGTGTAGATTTTTTTTTCTTTAGTATGTGAGACTGTCAACTATATTCAGTTTCTCTATATTAAAGTATGAAACCTTAAAGTGTTATCTCATTCAAAAACGAAAATTCTGTCAACATTGTCTCACTCTTACTGTCAAGATTTCCTCACTCACTCAATCCATGGGTTACAAACAGAAACATTTAGAATGACCCATTTCTGTCTTTTTTCGGGCTGAACTAATATTGCAGATGAACTCTTTCCAGATAACTACATGTTTAAATGTATATGCAATTCTTTATCCCACTGCTGCTGTGAATGACATCATTTAGCACAGATGTGTATTGCAGTGGCGTTCCATCCATATAAGCTGTGAATGCTCCATTTGAGAGAATAAGTTCACGGGGTTATTAATATAAACATTATTACAAGTTGATCCCTTGTCATTTAAAATGTAACAAAGCTTAAAGGTATAGGAATAAGTACGTAAAATGATTTATTTGCCAAAGGGCAGTCATTTTCTGTAAATCTACTTCAGTTACGGAAGCTTCCGGGCGAGCGTATTCTCCGCAGCTTTCTCGCCTCCGCTCTATTGCTATGACTCATCAGGATTGTAGCGCGTCCTCAGTGGTTTGCTGGCCTGCGGCGGATTTAATGCGCGAGGTAAGCTGTCCGCGAATCGCTCGCCCAAGCAGAAAAATTTGCTGTTGCTGTCAGATCTCGATTGCCGAAAATCACATTGTGTTTGATGCAAAACCAACTCGACTTAATCAAAAGAAAAAAAAAAACGCTGTAACTGTATATTTTGTTTTCTCAAGCAAAGAAAATGCTAAAAGTCCACTGAAAGCATATCTTCTTACATTTTTGGTCATAGACAATGTATGTTGAAGATATACGTTATTGTCAACGTGGTAAATTAAAAAATATATTTTTATAAAAACGTGGGCTATATAAAATTGTAATAATTACAATCAGGAAAAGAAAGAAACAATCCTCTGAACATTTTGAACATTAAGATGTGTAACGAATCATCCACTGAAGGCGAGCGTAAGTGAGAACCCAAGTGCAGTTTATTTACAGTGATCCAAACAATAAACGAAGACTAGAGACACAGACTTGACTTGACTAGGCATGAACAGACTAGACTCACCGACAGCGGGTTACAACATCAATACACGACAAAAGACAATGGCAACATGAGGGCTACTTATAGCAGACAAGAGGGTCACATGACAAGAACACACCAATGGGAAACAAGACACATGACTAGGACAACCAATCAGAACATGACACCATGAACAGAGGAACCAATGGCATGAAGACAAGAGGGCAAGGGAAGCATGACACTAACAGCATGAATCAAACTACAAAGTAAAAGACCTGAAAACAAGAACATGAAACAAAACCCAAAACCCAAACCCCACATTACAAGATGTTATTGTTCCTTTTGTTTTGCGTATGCTCGTGTCGCTTAGTTAAAGTCCTTCTCCGATTTTATTGTTGTTTGCAAGGTTGCAACGTTACTGTCACACCCATGGACAGTCTTGTGTTTTGTTCCTCATGTTCGCTCCTTGACCCAGTTTCTCCCGTGTTTGTGCCCATATTTGGTTTTCCTGTTAAAAGAAGAAGAAGAAGAAGAAGAGTCCTGCGTTCGATTAAAGGTTTTCTATTTGGAAGATCTATTCAAGTAAAGATTGGGAAAGAATTTTCAGAGATAATAAAGGTAGAAAATGGAACACCACAAGGGAGTATAATTAGTCCTTTATTATTTTCTATTATGGTTAATGATGTGTTTTTAAGTGTTGAAAAAGGAATAGGAATTTCTCTTTATGCAGATGATGGTGCAATCTGGAAACGAGGGAGGAATTTAGAGTTTGTTGTAAGGAAAGTGCAAGAAGCAATAACAGAAGTAGAACAAAAAATTTATTCTTTTCAAAATGTAGGATTAGTAAAGAGGTACAATAGAAATTATATGGTCAAGATATAGAAAGAGTATCATGTTTTAAATTTTTGGGTATATGGTTTGATGAAAAACTCACGTTTAAAATACACATAAAAAAATTGTTGATAAATGTAAAAGGGTAATGAATGTTATGAGATGTTTAGTGGGGAAAGAATGGGGGGCTGAGAGGATGGCTCTAAGAAGTATATATACGGGATTGATAGGATCTGTATTTGATTATGGGAGTATAGTGTATCCATCTGCTGCTAATACTGTGTTAAAAGAGGTGGACAAAATCCAGTACAAGGCATTAAGATTATGTACGGGGGCGATGAGATCTACACCAACTGCAGCCTTGCAGATTGAAATGGGAGAAATGCCTTTAGATCTTAGAAGAATTGAACTGTCACTAAGATATTGGGTCAATATATTAGGACATAGTCAAGAACACCCAGCTAGGGTAGTTCTAAAACCTTTCTGGGAAAAAGGAAAGAAAGAAATCAAAAGTTTTGGAAGGGAAGTGCCTAGAGTGGTAAAAGAAAAGGAAATTGGTGAAACTCCAATAAGCCCTACAGTTCCGTGGTCAACAATCCCTCTGTGGTTAATATCTCAACCTACAGTAGATATGACATTGTTAAGTGAGGAAAATAAGGTTAAGTTCAAATCAAATGTTCAAATAGCACATAAGTACATTCATGGAAATTATTATGGTTATGTTCAAATATATTCTGATGCATCGAAAAATATGGAAGACAAAGTAGGTGTGGCATTTAGTATCCCAGAATTTAATGTGAAAGTCAGTAAAAGAATCACAGATAATTTGTCAATTTACACTGGTGAAATGATTGCAATTGTACTGGCATTGCAATGGGTGGAGGAACATAAGCCAATGCGGACACTCATATGTTCTGATTCAAGTTCATCTTTAATTAAAGAAGAAGAAGAAGAAGAAGAAGAAGAGTCCTGCGTTCAGTCTCAAATTTCTACCCCGTGTGCTATATGTGTGTTCTCTGTTATTTTGGTTTCATTAAGGAGTATTTCTGTTCTGTTCTGTTCATACTTTTAAATCAACACCTGCCACGGTGTTTCTTATTTGTCTTCTGTGATCCCTCTGAGTGTGTCCTAAAAGCCAGAGGAGGGTCTTAATCTTATCACTCAGCATACCCGGTTAAAAAAGTCACCGCTCGCCACTGGTGTCCCAAAGAAACCAGACCAGTACAGCAAGGTTTTATAGTCGTTTTTCAGCGTTTTTTCTTGTTACGTGAATATTTCAGGTGTTTCACGTCTCGCACACTTGCCAGGATCTAGAGCACACATTGAGAGGAGAAAGGATTGTTGAGAAATGTTCAAAATTGTATCCATGTTCCGTATTTTGATCCCTGTGAGAAACATGCAAAACGGTGCTATAACGCTTTTACAGGTCCACTAAAACGGGTAAGAACTTCATCTAGAACTGTGTATTACTTTTTATTCTGTAGAAACTTCTATGCCTTTTTTTTGTGTGTGTAAAATTATAATACATTTCATGATGGGTACTGACAGTTTAAATTTTCCATGAATCTTTTATCTCTCAGGTCAGGCGCTGCAGTGTTATGAGTGCAAACTGGGTTTCTGGTATCTTTGCATTACAAGCAAAAAGACATGTGATGCTGGTGAGCACTGCTTCAGCGGAATAGGGAAAGCTGGTGAGTTTATGCTCTTCAAAAGCTGTTGAACACCTTTTGTTTTATGAGTTTTTCAAGCTTAATCTGTTTTTCTTGCATCTCTATTTTTAGGTGGATTAGTGGATATTAAGATGAAAGGATGTCTTGAAGTGTCCAATTGCAACAAAACTGTAGAGGCGAATTTCCCGTCCAACTCAAGCACCAAGGTATACCAAATGAAGAAGATGTGCTGCTCTACTGACCTGTGTAACTCGGCTCCGGGTCACTTTCACATGTCTGCTGTCAGCATGGCCTTCGCTACCATCAACTCTGTGTTCACGGTCAAATTCCTCATTTGAGGAGGATTATTTTAGCTCACACACAATAAATATATATATACAACAACATCACTGAGCAAATCATGCTTACTAAACAAGCCAAATTAATTTGTTGCAAAATAATTTATGGAATGAATACTCAAGATAGGTCACGCACTGGAATTTAAAAAGTTTTCAGTAGATTGCCCAGTAGTGATAATTTCAGCATACCATCAAGTTAACACTTTTTCTACATAGATACATAGCATGAATTTATTGAATATCAACAATGAAGACCATTCTGGTTATAGATAAGCACCTCACCCTACTAGGGGTTGAACGACTTTTTTAAAGTCGACTTTTATGTGATGAAAGTTGAGTCGAAGTCGACTAGTCGCTGATGACGTCATTAATGAACAAATAAGTCTGGAGCTGTGATAAACACCTTGTGCACAGCTGTGGCATATGACACAGCGCTGCCCACATGGCTATTGCTCCTATAACAGCTCATTTTTAACAGTTCTTTTGTCTTTGAGCCGTTATGTTTCTCACAGATTTCTGCTTGTTCTAAATCAGATACAGATAAAGTAGCACAGTAAAGATTACATTCATATGAATGCATTAGTGAGAGCGATTGCGTGTCTGAATTAATTCTACCTGGCAGCGTCTCTCTACTAGTAGTGAAGCTGTGGAATTTAGTTATTAAGAAATATATGCATGAACTTTTTAGTTTCAAAGCTATTTTATTGAGAAATCACAGAACAGTGTTGACAATACATTTCCGCGCTTAATGATTCTGTGTGCGCGCGATCTGCGCGTGATGTACGAGCTAGTGTCTGTAATGTGTGTGCGTTACAGTGCAGCAGCGCATTAAGTCAAGTCAAGTCACCTTTATTTATATAGCGCTTTTAACAATACAGATTGTGTCAAAGCAACTCTACAGCATTAATTAGGAAAATAGTGTGTCATTAATGCAAAAATACAATGGTAAACACTAAATTTTCAGTTAAAGGCAGTTCATCATTGAATTCATTCATGTCATCATCAGTTCAGTTTAAATAGTATCTTTGCAATAATTTGCAATCAAGTCAACGATATCGCTGGAAATGATATCGTTGACTTGATTGCACAGATACAATTTAAACTGAACTGAGCTGGATGATGACATCAAATGGAGAAAAAACCTTGGGAGAAACCAGGCTCAGTCGGGGTGGCCAGTTCTCCTCTGGACAGGCTCATCTAGTTGTCCTGGTCTCCGCTGACATTCGGGGCTGTAGAGGTCGTCTCTAGGTGCTGATCCACCATCTGGGCTGGATACGGACTGGATCTGGTGGCTACGGTGACCTCGGAATAAGAAAGAAACAGACTAATATTAGCGTAGATGCCATTCTTCTAACGATGTAGCAAGTACATCGGGTGTTATGGGAAGTGTTCCCGGTTCCGGTTGACCTAATTAATGCAGCCTAACAATCCTTTAACGGAATATAATTGTGATTATATTAGATTAGAACGGCAATTAACTTACCTGTACAATAAGCGGTTGAAAATGTGCATTCTCCCGTTCAATTTCGAGCATCCAGTAATATAATATCACATGTCTTGTGGAGCGCTTTCAGAGTATGTGTATTTTTATGATTTTATTTCTCCTGATATCTGAGTTTCACTTATAATACATGGTCTTCTAATAACACCAGAGGGTTTGCCTGTCAAAACATCAATGCATGAATGAAGTTTATGAAATCCTTTAGTTTAAATGTTGGGGGGTTTGTCCATTGTATTTTACATGTGTGCCTATTCATTTACACAGGACATTCTTCATTTTCAAAGCCATTTTTGTAAAATTTGTAAAGATGTCAAAATAGTGTTTTGTTCTAGTTCTTTTATTTATAAGCACATTTAAAACAGTCACAAGACTGACCAAAGTGCTGTACAACATAATGATCAAAGATAAAAACACATTCAAACAAACATCAATTAGCAAAAGCTAAAGAAAACAAGTGAGTTTTCAAAAGAGATTTAAAAACCGATAAAGATGGAGCAGCTCTGAGGTGCGCTGGCAGGCTGTTCCATAATCTAGGGCCCATCACCGAAAAAGCTCTATCTCCTCTGCATTTCAGCCTAGTGGAAGGAACCATAAGTAAGTTTTGATTACCAGATCTTAAATCTCTGGTAGGGTTGTAAGGATGCAGCAATTCCGATAAGTAATGTGGGGCAAGGTTGTGTAAAAATTTATAAACAAATAAGAGGATTTTAAAATTTATCCTAAAATCAACAGGGAGCCAATGAAGAGCTCGCAAAAAGGGGGTGGCAGGATCAAATTTGCGGCCTTTCTTAATAAATTTGGCTGCTGCGTTTTGGACCAGTTGTAAACGAGCTACTTGGTACTTTGAGATACCACAAGAGTTGCAATAGTCCAATCGAGAGGAAATAAACGCGTGAACAGCTGTCTCAAGAGGTTTTTCAGGCAGAAAATGTTTGATTTTAGAAAGAAACACACACAAAGTTCCTAACACACTTTGATTCAAAAGCTGACAGGCTATCCAAGGTCGAGTTGTTAAATTTGAAATTGTCTGATGGGCCAAAGACAATAACCTCAGTCTTTGAGTCATTTAAGGTTAAAAAGTTACTAGCCAACCAATGCTTTACCTCATCAAGACATGTAAATAGGGAATCAATAGCAGAAGGATTGTTTCTTTTTATAGGCAGATAGATCTGGGTATCATCGGCATAGAAATGGAAAGATACACCATACCTTCTCAGAATCGAACCTAAGGGAAGCATGTAGAGAGAGAAGAGCAGAGGTGCTAGGATAAGATCCCTGGGTAAGTCCATAATTGAGATGGGCAGCAGAGGAGGTAAAGTTGCCAATTTTGACTGAGAAATATCGCTCTGTTAAATAAGATTTAAACCAATTCAAGACTGTTGAATTGTATTCTGTGATTGTTTTGTATTCTGTTAATGTGTTTCTTTATTTGGTAAAGATGACATTCCTTACTGAAATAAATGTATGTAAAAGGCAAGAATTTAGCAAGAAATGTTTTTTTGGAGGTCTGCTGTCAGCAGCATCCACAGAACGCAGCACTCTCATGCCAGAGGTGAAGACGCTGTGCCCTGCTCTGACAAATGACCTGTTTTAGTTGCCATCATAATGTGTGTAGGAATTGCAAATATAAGAGCAATAAAATTGTAGTTAATAAAAGTCAAGTCGCCTTTATTTATATAGCGCTTTATACAATACAGATTGTGTCAAAGCAGCTTTACAGTGTCAAACAAGAAAATAGTTTGTCGATAATGCAAGAGGACAATGACAAACAGTAAATTTTTCAGTTAAAGTCAGTTTATTATTGATTCAGTGATGTCATCGTCCAGCTCAGTTCAGTTAAAATAGTATCTGTGCAAGTGTTCCCGGTTAATTAATGCAGCCTAAAAATCCTTTAACGGATTTGAATTATAGAAATGCGATATAATAATGTGTGTTATGTGTATGCCAGGTTAAAGAGATGGGTCTTCAATCTAGATTTAAACTGGCAGAGTGTGTCTGTGTCAGATTCTGGTCCGTGTTTTGTGTGTGTTTTGCTCCTCATGTGCCTTTCTGTGTTTCCTTATTTGGTCATTTTCCTGTCCTTGTTTAGTTTAATTATGATTCCGTTCAGCTGTGTTCTATTAATTACCCTTGTATTTAAGTTCCTGCCTGTTC